ACCTGGAAAAATGAATTGATAGAATATACGATGACTATGAAGCAACACAAAGTAAAACAGATTATCAAAGAAGATGATACAATCTTATTTTAAATCCCAAATCTGCCACTGTTAAACTGAGCTTTACTTCATATCTATTAAATGTCACAAATTTAGTAATGATCATCTACTTTTTTTGATTTTGTTTTGTTTAGACAGAGTCTTGTTCTGTCCCCCAGGCTAGAGTGTGCTGGCACAATCACAACTCACTGTAGCCTTGACCTCCTGGGCTCAAGCAATCTTCCTGCCTCTCAGTTTCCTGTAGTAGGTTAACTACAGGCATGCACCAACACGCCCGGCAAAATTATCATTATTTTTATTATTTTAGACGGAGTTTCACTGTTGCCCAGACTAGACGGCAGTGGTGCAATGTTGGCTTAATGCAACCTCTACCTCTCAGGTTCAAGCGACTGTCCTGCTTCAGCCTCCAAAGTAGCTGGGATTACAGACATGCACTACCACGCCTGGCTAATTTTTGTATTGTTAGTAGAGAATGAGTTTCACCATTTTAGCCAGGCTGGTCTCAAACTCCTGACCATAAGTGATCTGCCCGCCTTGGCCTCCCAAAGAGCTGGGACTACAAACGTGAGCCACTGTGCCTAGCCTAACTAAATTATTTTTATTTTTTTTTGTAGAGACATTGCCCAGGTTGGTCTCCAACTCCTGGGATCAAGCGATCCTCCTGCCCGCCCCTGCCTCCCAAAGTGCGGGGATTATAGGTGTGAGCCACAGTGCACAGCTTGACAAATATCTATCTTTGCCAAGTTAATATTCATATGCTTGTGGATAGTGGTGGTGGTGCTGGGTTTAAGATGCTTCTGAGCACCGTCATTCTATAAACAATCTCTCTATAAAACAGCCTCACTGAGATTGTTTTAGCAGGCAGAAGACAATAACATATAATAAACAATGAAAACTACAATGTCTTCAAGAAACAATTTTTACAATGGATTTTAAAATAAAGCACCTTCTTAACAAATGCTTATTAACCACTACGTTTAAAAAAGGCTACTGGCTAGGCACAATGGCTCAAGCCCATAATCCCAGCACTTTGGGAGGCAGAGTTAAGGATCAGCTGAGCCGGGGAGTTCAAGACTGAACTGAGCAGCACAGCAAGATACCATCTCTATTTATTAAATTTTAAAAAGGTGAGGAGGATATCTACAAATGTGTCTTTTTAAAATACGAAGATTACCAAGACCTACACAACTTTACCTTTGCTAGTACTTCAGGGGAAACCTCTTCATCTGGAGACCACAGTTTTCCATTCTTTTCACCTGTTGACTATAGACAATTGAATAAATTTAGCTTCCAGCATGAAACAAAAATTTAAGCTTTTGCTAATTCAGTTTTTCATGCTGATCACCAACCAGAGCTTGGAAAGAACAAAGTTAGAAGCCTCATACTTCTCAATTTTGAAACTTACTATAAAACCTACAGTAATCAAGAGTGTGGGCTGGTACTGGCAAAGACAGACATATAGATCAATGGAATAGAGGACCCAGAAAACCCTTGCATATATGGTAATTCATTTTTGACATGGGTGCCAAGACCAATCTTCAGGAAGTCTTTTCAAAAAATGGTGCTAGAAAACCTTGATATCTGGCCGGGATGGAGGCTCAAACTTGTAATCCCAGCACTATGGGGGGCTGAGGCAGGTGGATCACTTGAGGTCAGGAGTTTGAGACCAGCCTGGCCAACATGGGGAAATTTCGCTTCTACAAAAAATACAAAAAAAAAAAAAGAAAAAAAAAAAATTAGCTGGGCATGGAGGAGTATGGCTTTAGTTTCAGGTACTTGGAAGGCTGAGGCTGGAGAACTGCTTGAACCTGGGAGGCAGAGATTGCAGTGAGCCGAGATTGTGCCACTGCACTCCAAGCTGGGCTACAGAGTGAGACTCTGTCTCAAAACACCACCACCACTACCACCACCTGGATATCCATAAGAAAAAAACCACCACCACCACTACCCTGGATATCCATAAGAAAAAAACCAAACAGACAAACAAAAAAATAGATGTTAATACATATAAAAATTAACTCAGAATGACTCAAAGATCTCAATTTAAGAGGTAAAACCAGCCAGGCATGGTGGCTCACACCTGTAATCCCAGCACTTTGGGAGGCCAAGGTGGGAGGATCACAAGGTCAGGAGATCGAGACCATCCTGGCCAACATGGTTAAACCCCATCTCTACTAAAAATACAAAACATTAGCCAAGCGTGGTGGCATGCACCTGTATCCCAGCTATATAGGAGGCTGAGGCAGGAGAATCACTTGAACCCAGAAGGCAGAGGTTGCAGTGAGCCAAGATCGAGCCACTGAACTCCAGCCTGGGCCACAGAGCTAGACTCTGTCTTAAAAGACAAACAAGCAAAACAAGAACAAGAGCTAAAACTGTAACTCTGAAAAGATGACACTTGGGGAAATCTTCACGATCTGGAATCTGGTAAATATCTGACAAAGGTTTTAATATACAGAAAATGTAAATAACTCTTAAAACTCAACAAGAAGCAACCTAACTAAAAGCGGATGAAGGCAGCCTGGGCAACATGGTGAAACCCTGTCTTAAAAAAAATACAAAAATTAGCTGGGCGCAGGTGACTCACACCTGTAATCCCAGCACTTTGGGGGGCCGAGGAGGGTGGATCACAAGGTCAAGAGATCAAGACCATGCTGGACGACATGGTGAAACCCTGTCTCTACTAAAAATACAAAAATTAGCCAGACATGGTGGCATGTGCCTGTAGTCTCAGCTACTCGGGAGTCTGAGGCAGGAGGTATCGCTTGAGCCTGGGAGGCAGAGGTTGCAGTAAGCCAAGATTGTGCTACTGCACCCCAGCCTGGGTGATACTCCAGCCTGGGTGACAGAATGAGACCATGTCTTTTTTTTAAAAAAAGAAGTGGGTGAAAGGATTTAACAGACAGCTCTCCAAAGAAGATATTACAGATAGTAATAAGCACACAAAAAATATCCTTGATGTTATTATTCATTAGGAAAATGCGAATCAAAACCACAATGAGATACCACTTCATATCCACTAGTATGGCTATTTTTTTTTTAAAGGAAACTGTAACCCAATAATGTTATTCCTAGATATATACCCAAGAGATAAGAGAACAGTAACATAAATGTTCTTGTCAGCATTATTCACAATAGCCAACAGCTACCTATTGGCAATCCAAGTGTCCATCAACAGACAAAGAAACTATGGGATATATACACACAATAGAACACTAGCCACAAAAGGAACAATATTCTGATACATACTACAACATGGATAAGAGATATGTAGAATAGGTAGTCACCGAGTCAGAAAGTAGAATAGAGTTGTTGCTTAATGGGTACAAAGTTTTTGGGATTATGAAAAAATTCTGGAGATGGTTGGGGTGGTG